CAAATGTCAAATTTTTAGGTTATTCATCATAATTCTCATTAAATTCTGACATTTTGACTTGACGTTTTTGTTCTGCAATGTAAATGATCAAATATCAAACGTCAAATTTAACTTGAAGTTGGAAGTGAATGTAAATGCTCCTTATAAGCTTGTATGACAGCTCCGTTGTGCACGTAACCTTATAGAGCTGAAACTCAATTGAGTAGAATAAGATTGTTATTCCAGGCCCTCATAGAGTAGCTAACTCCAATTTTAAAACCTCCTGGAGCGAAAGTTAAGCCATGGCAGATAAAAATGTTCAATTTTGGCCCTCAGAACTGAATTTGAAGTAAGGAGGAACCTGAAAATTTCATTCACTCAAAATTAAAGTTGAAAACCATCAAAATCCGATTTCCGGCAATTTGGGATGAGTTAAAGTTGACTCATTTTGCACCCTCACAGAGCTGAGAATTCAACCAACCTTGCGTTCGGTATTTTGCTCGAAGAGCAGAGCGTGCAGAGCGGAGCCGTAACCACGTGACCAGCGAGCGAACAGAGCAGTTGAACGCTGTATAAAAGTGCCAGAAATTTTAATAAACGAACGCGAATGAGGATACACCGAGTACACTTTTTGAATAAACGAACGGTAAAGTCAAGCTCGGAGAACTCAGACCAAAATAACGAACGCACGGCAAGTAGCAGGAGCGCCGACTACGACAAGAGCTTGGTGGTAGCCCCGAAACAATTTATATGCGACGTTGCCATTTTTGGCATTTTCATGTTTGGACTGGAATCAGCGCCACGCCACGCCACCACAGTTGTTTATTATTCTTATCCCGGCCTTTTGTGTTTTGAGTGGACACAGAATATAATAATCTTTCATAATTTGATTATACTGCTTATGATTGAATGAATTGAAAATTGAATAAAATTGAAACTACAAATTTTGTATTTTGAAGCACTAGTGCAGGCAGCTGCCTTTTGGTTGGAGTGGAACTGGAAACTCGTTTGTTCTCCTCTACAGGGCGGAAAATTTTTTCATATCAAATTCGGAAAAAAAAAAAATATTTTTCCAAGTGCGGGAAATACCATAGCCGCTTTCCAGTATGCACATTGGCGCGCTCTAGAGCACTCCAGAGATTTGTACCGTTCCAGTATCATGACGCATGACGTTTGTCCGTACGTATAGCTCGGGAGCTCAACGCTCCGGGTAGCTCCGAGTGTCACACTCCCGTACTGGAAAACGGCTCTTTTCTCGCAAGTGTTAAGCCTAGTACTCATAACAGCGAAATTCGCTCATTTTTAACATTCCTTCGACAATTTGACGTTCTATGCGTGAATCAAACGTCAAATTGTCGAAGCAATGTCAAAAAAGAGCGAATTTCGCGGTTATGAGTACTAGGCTTAAGGAACACAATTTTTTTCAAGGGTGTGCGGAAAGATTACTCTGTGCATGCCAAAAGTTTTTTTTCCGCACATTCGTAGGAAAAAATCGGATCATCTTAGTTTCAGGTTTCAGGTCTCTAGAAGATGGCAAAGATTATCCTGTTTTCAATCCCTAGTAGGACTGCTTATTGAGCTAAAAGTCTCTAAACTGCTATGTCAGCTGCATACCTCAACTTTTGGAGTGAAATTCCTAAACGTTAAAATCTTGTTGCAATCACCTTTTCTATATTTAAAACATTTAAAATCGACGAAAAAATCAAATAACGAGCACAGTCTGAATCGCAAGCCTTCGATCGAGGTCTGCGGGTGACGTCATCACTATTAGCATCTGTGGCGACGTCACTCGCTGACCCTGCCTGCTCAAGAATTGGTGAACCTACGCCTTATTAGAAAGAGCAATCCTGTTCACGATTGTTGTATAAAAATGTCGAAAATTCCATCAAAATCCAGAGGCGTTTTCTCGCGTCTCAAATGTTTCAAAACATTTTTCAAAACTGGTTTAAGTAATGTCACCATGACGTCATAATTTCTCGGAGCGAGAAAATGGTTTGAAAATGTGGATTGGATTACATTTCGAAACGGTTTGAATTAAATTTGACGTGACGTCATAGGTTTATCGCGAGAATGTACTGTTTGAAAACAGTTTTGAACCAGTTTCAAAAAAGTGAACGCGAGAAAACGCCTCACTCTTTCATTGCACAAACAAACAGCATCTGCAAAAAGTTTCTTTCTGACGATTGAAAAATAAATAATTCTCGTCAAAAATCATTTTTTGTAACTTGAAAACATTACCTACATATTTTAAAAACTGCTGATTGCATCACTCGTTAAACAATAAACATTGTCCGCACATGTTAGGAAAATCTAACCCAAACAAAATAATATACTTTGACGTCAATTTGGCAACGCAGCACTCCATGCCTTAACCTTTTAGAATTGTTTTGGGGCTAGCACCAAGCTCTTGTCCGATTACGTGGGTGCACCCACGAGCATAGACATAAAAACTGATAATCCTCTCTAGTTCCTGGAAAACTGGTTAATTTTGTACCTCGGGTTCCTGAAATCTGGTTAACCAAAAGTCAAAATAGTTACCGGTTATCGGATGTCGGGTCGGTTCTGTTGGTTTTATCAAGGTTTTATCTGTAACTTCTGTCAATTATGTTTTATTTCCATATGTATTACAGTTTTACTTACTTTCTCATCAATATTCGCATCTATTAACCAAGATATAAACAACAATAACACATTTGGAACTTGACTTTGGAACATTTGTCGATTCATTACTTCTGGTGTAGGAAATCCCCGATTTATAAGTTCAAATTCGGACATTTCTTTTCGTAATAGAGAAGCGGCTTCATGTAAAACTTTAATTTTGGAAAAAAAGTTGCTTTTAAAAATTATATTATCATCACTTCCACATGAATCTGTATTTGATAAAAGAGGTTCTTCTTTTTGTAAATCCTCATCCCTTTTTTGCGTTCCCCAAAGTAACCGGAATTTTCAGTAAACATCTGTTGACTGATTCGGTTACTTTAGCTCTGTTCCAGCAGACATGAAAACCTTTCTAGAACGGTAATTTCCAGTCGATCAATCCATTTGTCAATTAGGAAAAACGTTCAACAGGCAGTGGTTCAACTTATTGAAAAATAGGTGGGCAACTGGAAATTATTGGTTCTGGAACGGTTCTCATGTCTGTTGGAACAGAGCTAATGGTTAACGTTTGGTTATATTTGAACCATAGCCTTATATAGGTTACGATATCAACTCTGTCAGTACTGAATTTACTGGACGCCGTTCCGATATTATTTTCAGTACACTGGATTCAGTCGATTCAGTACTGAATGACCACAAGAGTACCCTGTTGAAATTGGAACGGCAAATGACAGTAAAATCAGCACAGTAAATCCAGTACAGGCAGTTGATATCGGAACATGGTGGTACTTTGTTTAGAAGAAGAAGAAGAAGAAAATCAGAAATCTTTTGCGGAGAACAGCGTAAAACGCAGATTTTCGGTACATGCTGCTTGGAAAAGAATATCTGCAGGAGAGTTTTCCACACTTTACAGTAGAGTGTTTTCACAGCTATCAGACCAATACCCACCTTTACCACGTAAAAACCCCCCTCGAGCACAGCCATCATACCACTACCCACCTCCACTGTACCCCCTTTCGTGAAGCTCCTACCATGAGGAGGCACTTTTTACCCACCTGCACTGTAAACCCTCTTCTGTAAAGCCTTCCATTAATCTATTTTCAAAAGGCTCTTACTCTGAGATGGCACTTTATTATATCCCTTCACTTTCTTGAAAACTAAAGAATATTTAACCAATTCTTCCATTTGTATTCAAATTCGTCAATTTTGGGGTTGGCCCGGGTAAAATCTCCAAAATTTCAGCTCAAAAGCGCCGCCGATCTAGAGATTTTCCCACGGTATCGAAAAACTTCCCAGGCTCAAGTGCCCCCGACTATCAGACCAATACCCACCTCTACTACGTAAGTGGTCCACCAGATTCACAAGCAAAATGTTATTATAGCAATAAAATTAATCTCATGGAGTTTAGAACACTATTGACGAATACAAATGCGGGAATTGTTGAAATATTCTTTAGTTTACATGAAAGTGAAGGGATATGAAAAGAGGTACCTCTTCATCAGAGTAGAAGCTTTTTGACGTAGTGGAGGTGGGTATTGCTCTGATAGCTGTGAGGTGGGTATTGGTCATAAACAGATGCATTAATTTTATTGCAATAATAAATATTTTGCTTGTGAATCTGCTAGTCTAATGACCATTTGCACCGCTATCACTTAAGGGATATTAAGGGATATTTGATTTAAGTGGAGCTTTTGAATGTGAATTTTGTTTCTACGAGAGTCACATTCAAAGCTCCACTTGGATTAAATATCCCTTAAGTTATAGCGGTGCAAATGGCCGTGATAGCTGGGGGCACTTGAGCCTAGGAAGTTTTTCGATTCCGTGGGAAAATCTCTAGATCGGCGGCGCCTTTTGAAAATAGATTAATGGAGGGCTATGATAGCTATGCTGGAGGGGGGCTTTTACGTGGTAGAAGTGGGTATTGTTCTGATAGCTGTGAAAACACTCTACTCTTTACCCTTATAGCCGTCCTTTTTTTCCAATTTTAGCAGACACCGCAAAAAACTTACAAGCACCAAGCAACACTAGTTCCCGCAGCTGGAAAACGAATATGGAAAGGTGTGAACTACGTTGTTTGAAATGTATTAGCATTCCCTTCTTAGACACTCGTCCGAATGTAAATTAAAGAATGCTGGTAAACGTTTTTGTGCGTGGCTTCTGAAGAAGTTTTTTCGCCACCGGCGGACTGTTCACCCCCCCCCTCATAAATGCCAGTGCATGAACATCAGCACCCACGAGGTTTTTTGAAACCCGGCGCCCCTGCCAAGTAGAGTAAAAATCCTATTCCATCAGGTTCTTCTGAAGTAGCCAACCTAATTTTGAATTGCCCTGGAATGAAAGTTAGACTTGAAAATGAACCAAAACTACTTTTTACTCGAATGAAATTTGAAATAAATCCTAAAAGTCTTTTTATTTTTTTCTAGTTTGACGTTGTTCAACGTAGCTTCAGCGTCGTTTCTCTACGGGCAACCGTGCAGCGACCGCAACACCGCCTACTTGTACCCCAACGACTGGATAATTCCAGAAAACTCAACAAACTGCATCGACATAACAAAATCCGGAAACCCGGTTGCCGGCAACAGGACCGACTTTTTCAAGCTAGTCAATCAGGCGGACACTCTGTACGCCGACCATATGAGCCTGGACCGTTTTCCGACCGCTATAGTTTACGTTTTGCCCCGTCTGGAAATGCTGGATTTGTCCGGAAACGAAATCAGACGTTTGCCTTATAAAATGTATAAAGTAATGCCGCGGGTAACGAAGATGTTGTTGCCCGAAAATGCCGTTTTCGTTCCGAGGAAGCGGCCGCTTTTCAAGTCGGTCTCGATCAAAATGCTGATGCTCAGCAAGAATCGTATCCAGAATATTTATCCCGGAACGTTTTCGAAAATGCCCAATTTGCAGATATTGTACCTGGATGGAAATAGACTTAAGTTTATTAGTCCTGATATGTTTTTGCCGATGTCTAGACTGTTGTTTTTGCATTTGGGTGGAAACGCTATTGAGGAGGCACCTCCGAAACATCTAATGCCGCTTTTACTAAAGTTTTACATCATCAAAGATCAAAAGAAAGTTATCAAGTAATAATGATTGTAGTTTTGTTTGTAATAAAACATTATTTAGCCTTATAAATTGTACTGTTTTTTTTTGTCAATACTCATTCTAAAAGGGTGACATCATAATCTAAATTCTCCAATAAGTTTTGGGTTTGGTGGTAAATCCCCCAAGGAATAAAGATTAATGCTTTAAATTTATCATTGTTCTTTTTTGGTTTTTGTTATAATAAATTTGCTCGGCTAAGAAAAATGAAATATGACCTCCGTTGGCGAAATCAAAATTGTCTTTTTTTTTTTTAAAGCTCGCCGTAAAATCTAATGAAATTTTGGTCTAGTTCCGCTTCCGGGCTTTATAATCCTGGAGATTTATCACCCCTTTTTTTCCTTTATATATAATTTAGAGATCCAGACAGGGATTTTTCAGTCCCCAACTGGTCAAATGATCCATTTAAAGTTGACATTGACACTATTATTGTCAACTTCTTTTTCTTTCATTAAATGAATTTGAAATTTTCTTCTACGTTCCAATTATGGTTGAAGAAGAATGTGATTTAGAGTTCGACTACAGTGACAGTGCTTCAGAGCCAGATGTCGATTTGGAAAATCAATATTACCTGGCAAAATCCATGTTAAATGAAGACATCCAGACGGCGATAATTGCTTTTGAGATGGTGCTGGAATTGCAAGGAGAAAAATTGGGAAAGTGGGGCTTCAAAGCTCTTAGTCGGCTGGTAAGGATTAATTTCGAGCTGGGAAAGTACGACGAGACTATGTCCAAGTACAAACAGCTTTTGATGTACATTACAAACGCTGTGGATAAAAACTATGGCGAGTTTGTTATTAATTCGATTTTGGATTATACGTCGGGGGCTAACGAAAAAATGCTGGAGAGTTTCTACGATTCCACTTTGAATGCGTTGAAAACTTCGAAAAACGAAAGGCAAGTATCAAATAATAATATGTGAACGAATAGAGATAGACTATACAGACATCAGGTCCAGGCTACTAGTAGACCGGTGCATAACGACCATTTTTTTAAAACGATTTTCTCCCGTCTGCCATTAAGGATGGTTCTTCTTTATGCAATAAGAAGTGGAATGGCTGAAATTTCAAAGAGCCCCGCGTGTGACAATACAATGATATGCTAATTTGAAAATGTAATGAAAAGTGGAGATTTGGATCAATATTATCCCGTCTGCCACACATTGTGAAGGTAATTTAGACAAAAATGAGTACAAGGAAGCTAAACGGCGGAAACCCTAGGTTAGTATAAAGTGTCATATTACTAATTTCAAAATGTCGCCAAAATCGGACATGTGGATCAACGACCTCCCGTCTGCCAAATTAAATTTATGTTGCAATCAACGCCCCCCCCCCCCCAAAGTTCCTCAAATATAACGAAAGTTGGGAAAACTTAAATTTAAAGTTGGGAGAAATTGGTAGACAAAAATTTGCGCACTTTACTTGCGAGGACTAATTAAAATTAACATTAGGATCTCGTCACGTGGCGTAATGAATTGCAAAATCACCGGACAACAGGATGACGAAATCCCAATGGTCGCAGCGATCTCTTGCGTTGCACTTTGCACTGCACTAGCGCGACTAGCCTGTGGCAGTGGCACGTGGCACTTGTGGCAGTAGTGTGGCCTATCGCCACTAGCACTATTCACTATTCAAGAGTCAAGATCGACGACCGATGTAGTTATATCTAAATCTATAGAAAATTCTGATATTTAGACGAAAATATGGAGAGTCATTTGGAAGACGCATCACATTACGTCATGTTTTGGCAAATTTCGTTACACGAGAGACGAGTGAGGAGAAAGATATACAGGGTGGGGCATGAAAAACTTCCCACCTCGGTTTTCTAAGATGTTAGGTGATTAATCAAAAAAGGCTCGGATACGTCAATTTTTGTTTTTTGGGGGACACATTATTATTATTAGGTCTTTATTTAGCATGTACGGCTAATTTACAAAACATAGAGTACATAATATAATATTCATATACAACTATAAATTGCACAGTGTATGTATACATAAAGCACACAATACAATACATGTCATCATACATTGTTATGTCTAATAAAATTTGATAAAATAAAATAAAAATAAGAAATTAAATTAAGATTATTTTAGGCACAGCTATAGAAAGTAAACATAGATTTCAATAATAGTACCTACATAGTACATTGTCACACTGAACACAAGCTACAAACAGGGTATATGTACACATTCAGACATAAAGCACTCAACGATTCCTTTCTATGTATCTCCAACAGCCACACATCAAGCTATTGGCCATTGTCGATTAATAATTTTTTCAGTTTCGATTTAAATATATTAAGCGTTGAGCTGCTTTTTACATCATTTGGTAGTTTGTTATAATTAATTAGGCCATTATGGAATAATGCCCTTTCAGTGCTCTTTTTATTCTTGGTTGCTACATGCAAATCATTCTGAGATCTTGTATTGTGATCGTGAACGTTACGGTTGTACAGCAGTTTCGATGACAAGTACATTGGCATTACAGAACTCTTTATTCTATAAATGAATGTCATGGCTTGATAATTTAAAAAATTCTCGATGGATAACCAGTTTAGAGACAGTAGCATAGATCTAACCGCTGTGTCCTTGGGACAATGAAGTATTACTCGCATCGCTTTGTTTTGTAACTTTTGCAGCCTATCTTTTCCGTTTTTGTTCATCATGTACAGCACCGATGATGCGTATGTAAGATGTGGTAGAATAATGGTATTATACACCATGATGCGAGTCCACTTTGATAGAAAAGGTGCTACTCTAGTCAGGACACCCGTGTTTTTTGCTATTTTGTTAGTAATATAATTAATGTGTTCCTTAAATTGAAGCCTTCTGTCAATTATAACACCCAAATACTTGATCTCTTCAACCATCTCAATATCTTCACTTCCAATGGCAATTTCAAATGGAGTTGCCATATTATATTGCTGATTATTAGCAATAAGCATAAACTTTGTTTTTGATGCGTTTAATTTTAGTAAATTTCCATTAGACCACGATAATACATTCTCCAAGTCTCCATTAATAGCATCAGTCACCAATTTCAAATCTCTAGAACAGAAGTAAATTAAAGTGTCATCTGCAAATAGATGGATCTGGCAGCTTGTTATACACTTAACAATATCATTAATATATATAAGAAACAGTAATGGCCCCAATTTACTTCCCTGTGGTACGCCATTATCGTTTAAAATTTCTGGAGAAGTGATCTTGTTTATGTATGTGTTCTGTTTCCTATTCTGCAAATAGTTCTGAAACCACTTTAGAGCTACACCTTCTATACCATATTTTTGCAATTTTTGCACCAAGCTACACCTGTTGATAGTCTCAAATGCCCTTTTAAAATCAAGAAAAACCGCCCCAATCATAACATCACTATCCAGTTGGTTCTTCCAATTATATAAAATATTTTGTATGGCTGTTTCGCAACTATGATTTTGTCTGAAACCCGATTGGTTTGCATACAATATTTTCTTTTCTGAAATATATTCGATAAATTGATCATAAATAACTTTCTCAATAATTTTTTCAAAAGTCGCTAGCATATTTATTGGTCTCAGCTCACTGGCAGTTTTCACATCGCGGACTTTAGGTATTGGAATAACCGTTGAAATTTTTAAGGGTGATGGAATAGTGCCTGTTTCCAGTAAATAGTTGATTAAATTTAGCAGAGGGAATTCAATACTTGCGTATATCATTTTTATGAAGTTCGCTGATAGCTCGTCAGGACTACCTTTACATGGCAATTGAAAAACAATTTCCTTCAGTTGATCTGTAGTTATTGGCATAAACCGTGCTAAACCTCCTGGCGGTGTTTGTATTTGGTCAATACATTGAATTCCTCCATTTTCGTCGATTTCAGACACAATCCCATGAATGCTATTAATATAATAGTCATTGAGATTATTACACAATAATTGGGGTTCGCTTATTATCTCATTGTTAATTTCAAGCTCTTTGATATTATGGTCTTTTTTGTTTTTAGATAATAGCGGTTTTAATGTTTCCCACATTTTTTTTGAATTATTTTTACAATTATCGATTTTATTTTCAAAGTGACTCTTTTTCTCTTCACGTATTACTTGTACAGCCCTATTCCTGTTTTTTCTATAAGTAGCTTTATTTTCGTTGTTTTTATTTTTTTTGTAATGTTTGTAACTTTCATCTCTACATCGGACAGCATCGTACACTCTTTCATTCCACCATTCTTTATATCTGGATTTTATAACTATTTCCCAAAGAGGAAACTTCATTCAATATTCGCACTATCGTTGAAAAAATCTGACTATACTTGTCATCTATATCCCAGAGCATATAATTCCACCTCTCCAGAGACAATCTTCTATTAATTTCATCGAAATCTAGCTTACCCCGAGAATCAACGCTCTTACTACATTCCTCACTGAAGGCCTTTTTATTATTTAAACTAAACTTCATTATATAATGATCAGATATTTTTGGGGTATCAGCTACCTGACTGCTGACATTGTAGCTATTACAAAATCCCAGGTCAATAATACTTCCCCCTGCATCACTTGGGTGAGTGATTTGATTCACCAACTGATTAAACCCCAAATCCATCATACATATTTCTAACTGTCTCTTATAGGTATCCGCCCGCAACCAGTTAATATTGAAATCCCCAAGAATTAGTGTAGGGTACTTAAAGTCTGCATTCTCCAAGCACCAGTTTTCAAAGTTCTTTAAGAATTCTGCTGTACTTGCACTTGGTGAACGGTATATTCCGATAATAACATGCTGCCCTTTCTGTACCAATATAGAAGCATGTAGCAACCAATAATTTTTATCCAACACAAAACGCTTACATTCTAAAATTTTAATGTCATTCCTAATAAAAAATGTTACACCACCTGTATGCCGATTATGGCTGTCACACCTTACAATTTGAAATCCCTCAATAAAAATCTCCCTATCCGCGATGTCTTCCGTTATTCTACTTTCAGTTAAACATGCAACTAGTGGTTTTGAATCAAATATTAAACTAGACACCTCATCGAATTTTGATAAAAGACTCTGCGAGTTTAAAAGCAAAACGGAGTTTTTCAAATCTATAAAAAAGTACTCGCATTACAACTATTCCCAATATTGCTTGTTAGTTTACAAATGACATTCCTAACATAATCCAGCACCTTAACTTTTGCTGAATAAAACATGTTCATTCCTCTTTTATGATACAAAAAAGAATCCGTGTTAATAATAGAATTCACATTGACAAATGTTGATGAACTGTTTAATTCATAAATTTGTATGTTAAAGTCAGTAATAATTTTATTCAGCACTCTTCTGTTCCTCCATAACGGAACCGACATGAATACAAGATTCGTTTTTCCATCTATATCCTTTAATATTTGCTTAGTGTCATCCCTCAATGATTTGCCCGTTAAACAATTTACTAACCCACCCATAACCACAACAATATCTTTTTTCGAGTAATTCCTAATGAGTGTAGTAACATTTTCCAAGATACTGTCTAACAATGCATTATGCTTAACAAAAGAACAAATCTTGTATTTATCCCCCAAAGATGTTGAAAGGATATTAGAAAATTCAGTTACATTACTATCACCTAAGATTAGGATCTTACTCTTGACGTCCCCTGTTGTTGTTGTTACATCACATGTCAACACACCATCATTGTCACTGCTGGGTTTCTTGTTAACTTGCATTAGTTGATTCCGTAGACTTTCAATTTCATTTTGACATAAAGTATTCTCCTCCTCCAGTGTCCTTATGGATGTAATCATGTTTGCATTTAACTCTTTCATCTGTTGCAGTTCATGTAATTGCTTTTCAGTTTCAGCTTCCAATTCTAACCTCAATGAACAGGTATTTACGTCGTTTTCATTAGTTTCGCATTGTTGCGTTTCGACCTCATTAT